TTTTTTTTTTTTTAATATGCAAACGTTCTTCATATTTAGTGCATTTTCTCACTTTTCATTGGCGCATCATGTGACCAGCGGTGCCCAATTCGAATTTTATATGCATAAATATAGAGGAAATCTTACAAATTCTTTTACGAAATTATTCCGTCGAGATTTTTAATAATAGATTATTTATCTATACTAATCTACATGGTGTATCTACGATTAATAACTCCGACAGAAAAGATTCATAACAGGACTTTAGTCATCCCCTAATTATATAAGTAACGCCTTACAGGGAACTAATTCTTGTTGAACAAAATTAAGGATTGAAATGAGGTGGAGAAAAATTTTGTTATATGTAATATGAAGACAAGAAGTGAAAAAAATCAATAAACATTGAAAAAGAAAAAAACTAATTGTATAGAATATCTAATTATGGACAAATATTGTTACAAAAAGCCCTAAAACACCAGAAATTCTCTTAAATATTATGCTACTTTTACAACCATATAAGTTCTCCCAGGCCCATGTATATTCAGCATTTTATAAGGATCCTTTATTTAAAATAGCTTAGTTTCGTATGACAAACTTTTTTCAAAATGTTGAAAGTTATCTAATAAATTTTCTTAAGTAGCTTTTAAAAAATACCGTCGAAATTTCATTTCAACTGACTTAACAACTAAGTTTACGAAAAACTTTTTATTCTATTAGCTACTTTTTTACTCATCAGTCATTAAGGTATCAATTATAGTTTCAAAATTCAATTATATATAAGTTACCAATTGACTTGTCGGCCATCAGCTAGATTTGTCTAACAAAGCTATCTTTTTCTTTGTTGAGAGAAGAAAAGGATGAAAGAGTTTTTGTCATGATTATGTGCCCGACAAAAGAAAGAAACGTGGGCTGACCTTAGAGGTGGTCAGGTGCCGGGTTCGGGCCCAGCCCGGCCTGGCACGCCGGGTCGACGGGCCTCAATTGTTTCAACAATTTATTATTATTTATAAAAGAAGGCCCTTTAACTGGCTGACCTGCATTCTTATTTATAAATATATACATAAATTTTTGTTTCAACAATTTATTATTAAGTTATATTGGGTATGCTACACTAATTTCAAACAATCCTTTACATAAATGCCCGAATGTTGAAATGCTTTTGTACTTTAAATCTTGGGAAGATGCTAAGGTCCCATAACAGAACAGTACCGTCAACGTTTTCCACCATTAGATAAGCAAAGTAAGTTATGTTGTGTGAATAATCTATCGATAACAAACCGTGACGGAACCATTCCATCAACGGGACTTTAGTCGTTCTCTAAATCTTGTTTACCCTTCTAATAATCACTCCCACACCACATCTAGACTAGAATGCCTCCACATTGTAAAGACTACATTCACTTAATTTGCGCCTTCACCGCAAATAATTGCAGCAAAGCAAACTCCCTATTACTAAAACATTCAGACAAAAAAAAAAAAAA